TAGAAAGGAATTTAGCTGGCTACAGGAAATGTTTGAAAGCTATTTCTTCCAAAGGAGGAGATATGAAGTACCAGCTGAAGGGTTTCCATATTTCTGCACGTTTCATGTTTTTTGTATCGTAATGGAGGTTGTGTCAACCCCTATTCGCTTAGTAATTTGTTAAAACATAGAATTTGACTAGGATTGCCAAAACTTGTGCATACAATTCTATATAATCCCAAAGTTTACAAATACCATATTTTCCATAACTTCACATAAACTCATCAATCCATGGAATCGTAAAACAAAAGCAGCTTTAAAAATGCTACCTCAGGCTAAACCACTCTCTCACTTTACTTCCTGGCATCAGTCTTCTTACACAGCTGCTTTGTGAGCATAAGGCAGAAGTGGGAATCTGACTTCCAAGTGCTCAACTACCTCTGTCCCACAAAGCCCAGCAAATGCCCATTTCATAAAATGGAAACTGCTGATCCTCAGAAAAATATGCACAGGCAACACACACACAGATACTATATAAAAACCACAATCATCTTTCAAAATCCTCACAAATGCCAGGCTCTTTAAGACAAACACAAACAATATCCCCACCTTCTCGCCTCAAACAATCTTCCTCAGACACACACTTAAGAAACATTAAACATACTACAGCTTTGCAGACAAACCTGATTTTTACTGTTATGTTTGGGATACCATCTAGTATTGGAACAAGAAAAGAAAACCAAACCAGAAATTGGAAAAACAAGTGTGGTTGCCATATAAAGTATATCCTTTCATAAGCCTTAAATCTCTTCACATTTAGTTTCAATGAATGACCCAGAATTCTATTACCAAAGAAGAAACAAAAATTTCTATCATGTTTTTCACATATAATGCACATTTTTATATGCTTCTATTATGTCTCCCAATACATATCTTCACTCTCATTTTAAGAGCCCAAAATGCTGTAATCATTCTTTATAGCAGAATTTTTCTCAACTTAGAACCATTTTGGTTACTCTCGACTCTCTTTTTGGACTCTGCTGAACCCTAGAAATATCTGTTTCAAAGTAGTTTTTTTTAATTCAAGACAATTAATGTAGATTTCTAGCAGAAAAGAAAAAAAAACCAAACCCAGACATATTCTCTTCTTAACCATTTGGACAAGCAGGGTTTCCCCATATTTATTTTTGCACATCTATTTTTATTAATGATCTGCTAAATAGGATATCTAATGAACAAACCCCTTTATGCTCTCTTGTTTTGTTGCCTTACCATAATTGCATTGTAAAGGACACTGCTTCATGAGGTTCATGATTACAAGCAGACAAGCAACTAATTACTGGAAGCCTTTAACGGCAGGATTTGAATTAAACCTTGATTCAAATTACTAACTGTTGTAGCATCAAAGAAATCAAACAGCTGGAAATGCAAGCAATGGCAAAGAACAATGGACATGAAATGAAGTCTCTGAAAGATCCCTAATGCTAGCCAAAAACTGAAGATTAGGCAGAAAAAAGAAGGGCCTCTGAAGCATGGAAGACGAATATTGATTACCTGGAGATTTTACAAGTTGATGGTGAGTTTTCTTACAGAGGTATAACATGAGTCACCTGCTTCCCTCAAGCCTTTCCCACCAAAAGAAAGCAGCAGGTTTTTAAATTAAACTGATCTACTTATCTTAATTAGGACTGGAGAGCTTGACATTTGCTCAGGCTACAGACTGATCACATACAATTTGCAAGAACTTTCTATGTTGCAATTAAATGGTAAAGGATAGTGAAGCATTTACCTACTGAGTTTAACACCATATGTGCAATCAGAGAAACTGGTTTCTTAAGGCAAGTGCCTCTATTTGTTTCACTGTGAAATTATTTTAATAGGTACCTTCTTCTGAAACCAGCAACAGTATCACACTTCCTGGTATACTTAGTAAATATATAACTGCTACATTTCTAATCACATACCACATGTCACAGTGCATCATGCCTCTCTATATGGTATAAATTAGTCAAACATTTCACTGAATATCCATTTTCTTTACTTTTTATAGATACAAATTTTATCTAATTATGTGGAATACTTGTGTCCCTTTAAAGACACAATTCTCAACACGTGGGGGAAGCAAATCTCAAACTCTTTACTGTCTTGCTTTTTCTGTGGATTATATTTTGACATTCCTCAAAGGTGGAAAGATGAGAGAAAGCTAAAAACTAGACTGCCTATAATCTTTTTGGATATTTTGGTCTTTTTTTATGCTGGTAATTCTGAGCAAAGAGCCAATCTAGGGTAGTAGTTAAATGGACCAGCTTTTAAACTTTAAATTCTAAACTGGGAGACCATGAGTTTAAGTCCTGACTTAGGCATGAAGACAAGCTGGGTGAACTTAGGCCAGCCATTCTTTCTCACCCCCAAGAAGAAAGCAATGGCAAGCTACTTCTGAAAATATTGCCAAGAAAATTGCAAGGACTAGTTCAGGAAGTTGCCAGGAGTCAACACTGACTTGAAGGCACCAAAAAAAAAAAAAAAAAAAAAACCCTAAACAAACAAAACTAATGGTATTTTTAAGAACGCATCCTCCCCAGGCATCTGCAGCAAACCAAGATCCTATCAAACTGAGGGCATGCAAGATGACATCATTATGCAAAGCCTACCAGTATGTATTTACATGCCAATATCTGTTACAAGCATAGAAATCATATTTTTGCATCTTGACATACATTTTGTCACTTGCTACCCTTCCTTCTTCCCCCACCTCACCTTCATAGACACCTATGCAACTTCTAAGCAATATCATCACAACTATGTTGAAACTTGTTTTTTCAGACTCCACTTATGATGGTGGCAATGCACCATTTGCTTTATAGACAATTTAAGAATAAATATTGTGGTACTATAATTTTTGGAACAAGATAAAAAAAATTTCATGCCTGTAGGTTACCTAGTCCCTCCTCATTTCTAATACTGGAAACAAGCCAGAGAATCATAAATTGGGTGACATTACCAGCAAATTAATACAGGAAGAAAAGTACAGCATGAGCCCTTTTAGCTTCAAAAAGTGGGACCTTACCTTTTCAATTCAGGGTTAACATAGAAATTGCAGTGCAAATCTGTTCTTGCATGTAGTTCAGGAAAGACACTTTACTGAAGGACAAGAGCTCCTGATTTTGTGTTTAATGATCATCAGCAATGGGCTTCACTAAATATCTCTGTGGATTTAAATTACTCACCTTTAAGATAAAGGAACTGCAGGAACATGACACATTGCCATTCCTGAAATCCAGTATCTTGTAAATGAAAATACTTATTAGGTAAGAACTGATGAAATTTGAAATCTAGTAACACTTCAGTTTAATGAACCACATGGAGGGAAGGAATGTCACTAAATCCTCAATGTCTATGAAATCCAAGTTTATGTAAATTACACAAAATGTATTCAATGTTGTAATAACTTACATATAAATTAATGCAAATCATCTAGACTGATTCACCAGCAATGAACTTTTCTGTTCTTTATGAGTAAAGTCCAAAGTCAGATTATATTTGTTGCATCTGATGTCTTCTGAATGGGTCCTTCAAACTGAGGTTTATTGTACTCCAAAGATAATGTTATATTATGATTATATTTAATAAAATCTATCCTTCCATTATGCCCCAAGGCATAAATTCCAATTATATTTAACCCAATAAAATTCTTCTGAACTCTATAATTTTAAAAATGGAAATACTCTTGTAATATTCAATTCTAACTGACACGTTACTGCTTAATTACAGAAGTTCTGAAATATTTTTCCATATGTTACAAATCACCAATAGTCTACTTCAAAATTCCTTTGAACATATTACATGTCTAAATTTGTCCATTCTCTTATACATAGTTATAATTTTAAACTGCACTAAAGGCCAAAACACAACACAAAACACACCTTTACTTGTCTAGCACCAGAATCCACACCAAGACAGCTCTTTCCAGAGACTACAACTTTAGAGGTGCCATTCATTAATTAGAACATGAGAGAGAGAACACAAATTAACAAATCTAAAATTAGTGTTGGAGCACCTCTGATGCTGGAATTCTAGCAAGATATGCATAATAAGTAAGTTCACTGCTCCCTAAGTGAACTCTGACATCATCATAAAATGAACTATTAAGCGATTACTGGGGAGATACTACCAAAACAGGACATGAACAAAAAAGATTATATTCCCTCCCTCCCCAAAATCTTTCAACTGGAAAGTTCACAATAATTATAGGCACTAACCTCCTAAAGGAGCCACTGCAAAAAACAGTTTTTACTAACTCTGAAATGTGAGAACTCAAGGTAAACATTTTTAATTCATCGCTAATGAGGGGAGCTGAGAAAAAACTAGGGGTCCTGAGCTATGGAAAGAATTGTATAGATTATCTACCTCTACTACAGTCAGGAAATAAAGATTAAGAAGACAAAGGTATCTCTTCCAACATACACAAATCAGAGATTTAGACCTGATTTTTAAATTCAGAGTAAGAGAAAGATGGTAATGGCACTTAGCACAATTTTTTTTTCCATGAGGATAGCGCTACGTTCCCCAGTTAGAAAAACCATATGCCCCAGATGCACGAGGCTTAAGGTGTATTAGGGGTGTTTCCTTCAAAAGACAACTGTGCGATCAGAAGAAAGCAAAGAAACGGGTTTCTGAGCGTGAAGAGAGTGCCTTGCCCACTACGAAGTCATGACTTATCTGGTCACAGTAAGGATTAGAGAGAGAGACTCCTAGGAAAGACAATATGGCTCGCGAGCAAGCCCGACACCCATTTTTTCTCCCTCCCCATTTCTTTTCTTTTTTGGCACCGCACCCGTCTCGCTACAATACCTGTATCGGCTTAATGAACGCAGAGAAATTAGTTTATTTAGGGATCAAGACCATCACCCTCTTGCTCGCAACAGCATTATCTCACACCCACCAATCTCTCCCCCCCCTCCCCAATGCATACAGGCATAATTCCTTTCCGCCGCCACTTCGCCTCCCTCCCCAAGACTCACCCGCCAGCAGTAAGAGGAGCAGGGGAAGAGGCGTCTTCTCCGCGCGGTGCCCCATGCTGCCGCGTCCAGATTGGGAGCGAAGAGGGAGGAAGCGCGCCGAAAGCCAGCCGGAACCCCCAAATCGGCCGGTTAATGAGCTTCACCGCCTCAGTCAAGTGGAGAAGAGCCAATCCAACCCGAGCACCAGCCAGCAGCCGTCGCTCGCTCCCCGCTGGCGCTGGATTGTCCTGGGAACCGGCGGGCGCGAGGAAGGGAGGGTGGGAGCCGCCCGCTTTTTCTCCGCCGCCGCCGCCTAAGTCCGGCCGCGCAGCCA